AATGAGCCCCACATTCGCCCATGCATTAAAGCTGGGAGTGAATCGCATTCAAGGTGTGAGATTCACTCCTACGAATCCTCGAGTTACGAATGGAGTGGGCAGACTCCATTACATTCATAACTCAAGGACTACCTGTAATATCCACAAATACAATAAATTACCGTTTAAAACAAGCTTTCTACTCCTTGGAAAGCATAAGGACTCAATATATCTTTTTAGCAATATAACTCTCTCTATTGTTGCTTTCAGTTAAGTGCAAATAGAAGTTCCTCATGATTGCAGATTCTGTTTTCTCAAGAACCCTTTTTAAACTAACTCTGCTGTGGGGGATGGAACTGCCATAAGCAGTTCCAGAGAGTCCTCAACTTACGACCACAATTGAGCCCAAAATTGTTAAGTGAGTTTTGCCTCATTTTACAACTTTTCTTGCCACAGCTGTTAAGTGAATCACTGCAGTTGTTAAGATAGTAACACAATTGTTAAGTGAATCTAGTTTCCCCATTGACTTTGTTTGTCAGATGGTCACAGAAGCTGATCACATGACCCCAAGGCACTGCAACCATCATAAATATAAGTCAGTTGCCAAGCATCTGAATTCTGATCACGTGACCATGCCGATGCTGCAACGGCCGTAAATGTGAAAATGGTCATAAGTCACTTTTTTCAGTGCTGTTGTAACTTCAAACACTAAATGAACTGTTGTAAGTTGAGGACTGCCTGTATCTCCCATCCTCTCTGAGTACACATGTGTACTCAGGAACAGAAGCTTCATAGACTATATGAAGCATTGGAAACTCAAAGACACCAGAGATTCTGGTACAGAGCTAACTAATCAACTTGCATTACCCACAAGGTTTCCTGGACAAACCATATTGAAATTTCCATATTTAAAGATGGAAAATTTCCATATACTCAACAGAACTATATTGAGACTTTGTAATCTGCTATCTGAAATTGATTCTGAACTAATCTAATTACACTGCACAGAAAACCAGTATGGAAGCAGATTGAGAAGAAATGGGTTCTTTGCCATATTTATCTGAAAAGAAAACACTGATCTTAAGCTGAAAGAATCTTCCCTAAAAGTATCTCCATTGCCATGCTTTCCAAACATCACAAATCAAAATTATTCAAGTGAAAAACTAAGCTCTCTTTCAAGTATTTGTGGTTCTCCGAGAAGGCAGGGTACTTAACTGCCTCTGATCTATGCATTTTGGTTTCTCATTCAGTTTGAGCACAGAAATATTCCTCTGAAACCTGTTTATTTATTTTTCATTGATAGATGACAGACTCCAACCCCCCTGCTCTCTACCCATACCTCTTTTTGTTATCATATTGATGTATTCTCATTGTTTTCTTTTTTGTTGTTTATTTTATTGTTCTATTATTTTACTTTTGTTTTGTTTACACTCTTTCCATATCTTCCTTTTTATTGTTGTAAGCCACCTAGTTTGATTCCTGGTAACTATCTGGATTAGTCCCTGCACACTTTTGGCAAGATTTTCAGAAATGGGTTACCATTTCCTTCTTCCTAGGGTTGAGACAGAATGACTGGCACAAGATCACCTCAACTAAGGTTGTACTAGAATTCAGTTTCATGGTTTCTAGCCTGGTGCCTTAACTATAATAGACTGTCTCTTAAAACTGTCAAATCTCAACTGTACCTTCATGGTCAGAGACTAGTGGCCAACTTACCTAGGAAACTTATCAGGTTAGCTTTGTTGGCATCGGCTGCATTATTCACCAATTAACTCTGACTGTGAGGCATCATCTTGGGCAGGAAAGAATCATGTTGAATTTGAAAAACTGATTCCTCAAGATGTCTCCTGAGGAACCCCACATACTTATTCAAAACAACTTGCTCGAACAACATGTATTTACGAAAACCATGGGTTAGCATTCAGCCTCTGCCTCTAACTCTCATGGATGGACGCTCCTAACCATGGCAGCTTCTGCACTTCAACCATTCTTTTTCATGGTGAACCAGCTGAGCACACTGAATTAGTTTCTGCTCTTGGGTTCCAAAGATATCAGTCTTAGCAGCCTGGCTTACATTGGAATTGTGCAGTGGGCGTGGCTGAGGTCTGAATCAAAATTCATGTTTGCCTTTCTATGTGACCCAAGGATGACTGTCAGCACTGACAGTCTAGCCCACCTAGAGACGGTTCCTGGTTGTGGAAATGGCCTAAGTGGAGAAAGATTAACTCACAGTTAGGAGGGCAGGGAGGTAATTGGGGCATCAACATGTGTTTCTCCTGTAGTAGTAGCAGTAGGAAAGTTTATCTCTTGTCCACCAAGCAATGCCTATACTTTAAAACGGACTTTCGTGTCATTATTTAACTTCTTGCTCTATGCACACTGCATTCTGCCTTCTTTTTAATGAAATTCCAAAGTGTACCTAAACATGCAAAACGATTCTGTACTGTACTATTCAGCCTGTTATATGTAACATCCAAACTAGACTGTGTTGTTTCTCTGGGTCATATAGGTATATGTATGTGGGTATATCCGTAATTTTGTTTTGGTCATATTTATGCAGTGTATATTGGAGGTGGTTACCCTTTGAGAGTTGTATGTAACGAAATTTCATTTTAATATATGCTGATTAATGTACATTTAACGTGACCATGAAGTTATTGTAAGTCTATGTTTGAGTGTCTGTGCATTTTGTGTATGTTCTTAGTTCTTCTGGATATTTGGATTCAGGACACCAGTATATAATAATAATAATGATAAAGTTGGAAGGGACCTTGGAGGTCATCTAGTCCAACCCCCTGCTCAGGCAGGAAACCCTATACCATTTTGGACAAATGGCTCTCCAGTTTCTTCTTAAAAACTTCAAGTGTTGGTGCATTCACCGCTTCTGGAGGCAGGTTGTTCCACTGGTCAATTGTTCTCACTGCCAGGAAGTTTCTCTTTAGTTCTAGGTTGCTTCTCTCTTTGGTTAGTTTCCACCCGTTGCTCCTTGTCCTGCCTTCAGGCGCTTTGGAAAATAGCTTGACTCCCTTTTCTTTGTGGCAACCCCTGAGATATTGGAACACTGCTATCATGTCCCCCCTTGTCCTTCTCTTTGTTAAACTAGACATACCCAATTCCAGCAACCGTTCCTTGATTATGTCATCATCAGAAGCACTCTAAAAGCTCAAAAACCACTAGGATTAAAAAGTAGAGTAGGCATTTGTACCTAAGCTCATCAACATTTTCTTTTTTCCCCAAATTTTGTGTGGTTTGTTTTAATTTGGTCAACTCTTTTGGAATTTTTGATTGTGATGTTGTAGGAAATAATTGATTTATCTAAGTTACACACTTTTGTTTGTGACAATGCCAAAGTGTACTTACAAGTTCTAAAGACTCTATGAAGATTGACCTGCTGAGATTAGGTATGCATACATATACAGTCTGTATGGAAATTTGAAATGTAACCTATGGTGTATTTTGCTGAAAAGACATGTTTGGATTTTCTGGTTTCAATTGTTTGCCTCTGTTTTTTTAGTACTTCAGATGTAAAACTTTTCCTGGAGTGTGTATTTTTGTGTTCTATTGACCATGCATATGTGATTTATATGTAGGAAGCAAATAATGGTAGCCAAGTAGGGAGATTTTTAGTATTCTCGCTAACCCTGTCTTGGAGAGTAATCTTTGCTCATGCTATCAGACAGAAATTAGTTTTGGCAGGCAGCTAGGGAATGAGGGATAAACTTTGCAGATAAACCTTTAAATACCGTAAAGAAGCAGTTAGCAGGTCACGTTTCCGTGAATACCTGCAACGTTATAGTTTTTTTCTTATGCCACTGAATCAGTCTTGACTTCTGACAACCATGTGGACAGTACCTGCAGTTTTCTTGACAAGACTTCTGAAGTGGGTGACACCTGCTTCCTTCCTAGGGCTGAGAGAGAGTGACTGAACTAGGGTCATCCAAGTGGCTTCATGTCTAAGGCAAGATTTTTAGCCTGATGCCTTAATCATTACACCAGACTGGCTCTTAATTATATCTTAAAAGAGAAGATTTATTTTAAATAATTTTAAAGTAACATCTCAACTGATTATTTAATATGTAATACTAGGATGTCCTCCTGCCCTGGAAAGAGGCAATTGCTTAAAAGGATTGTGTCTAGGGTGACAGATCAAGAAAATGTAGTCTGCCAATCTATCTCTCTTCACATTTCTTTCAGTTAGACTACCTCTTATATTCATGGCAAATGGTTGCTCTAAGTCAGTGGATCCCAACCTTTTCTATAACCTGCACCCCTAGAACACTTCTGATATATTCTCGCACCCTTTACAAAAGTTTGAAATAACGGCAACGAATTATGCATATACACTATAATTTTGAAAACCCAAGTTTTCGCATCCCCTGGAATATCGTCTCTCACCCCCAGTTGGGAACCCCTGCTCTAAGTTCAAGATTAGGGCGAATTCTGACCTAATCGCTAGAAGGCAGCAGCTCTGTTTAATTTATTTGATGCCTTCTAACAATTACCCAGATTTCTGCAGCCCAAGAGGCTTCTTCTAAACCTCACTGTTTCATGCCTAAAAGTGTTCTGAAGTTTTGTCTGGGTTGATGCCCAGAATGGGCAAATTGCCACAGATTTTGTTTCACCTCAATTACTTTTTCTCTTTCTTGTATATCCCTGAAACATAATTTTTCTTTTCTAAATACTCCCAACAGATATTGGTTAGTGCAACCATTTTGAAACAAACAAAACTGCCATTCTAAAAAATAAAACACATGCAATAAGCTAATAATTATGATATCAGAACTGCAAAAAAGGTTTTGTTAAGTTTCTCACCTTACTTGATTTGCTAGGAAGGGGATAATTCCCACAATTGATGTGCAATGAATACTTCCAAATAGATATATATAAAAACCCTTTAGTGCTCTCACACTACACGGGTTACCACACAGAGAAAAACACCAACCCAAGCTATGCCAAACCTTTCAATAAGGCATTTACAAACCCATGCTGGAGAAAGCTTGTTGGCCCATCTCTTTCACACACTCCAAATAAATACAGGTAGTCCTTGACTTATAACCACAATTGAGCCCAACATTCCTGTTGTTGTGAGAAATTTGTTAAGTGAGTTTTGCCCCATTTTATGACCATTTCCCCCCACAGTTGTTAAGTGAATCACTGCAGTTGTTAAGTTAGTAACACTGTTGTTAAGTAAATCTGACTTCCCCATTGACTTTTCTTGTCTGGAGGTCGCAAAAGAGGATCACATGACCCCAGGACACTGCAACTGTCATAAATATGAGTCAGTTGCCAAGCATCTGAATTTTGATCACATGACCATGGGGATGCTGCAACAGTCATCCAAGTGTGAAAAATGGTCACAAGTCCCTTTTTTTTTAGTGATGTTGTAACTTCAAATGCTCACTAAATGAACTGTCGTAAGTCGAGGACTACTTGTAAGGGAGCTCTGTCATTAAGGAAAAAAAAAAAACTATCTCCAACTTCAGGCACTGAAATACCTCCTGGTGCTGCAGTTCCCGCTAAGGGGCGTTTTTAATGCGGCCTTTTCGGAGCTGAAGCGCTGCAGGTGCGGGCGGACTGCAAGTCCCAAAACGCGCACATCCTAGCTGGGCGTTATGGGGACTGGAGTCTCAGCATCCTTGCTACGCTTCAGACGGGAAAGGCTGACGTAACGCTGCATCAATGCCGGCCAGCAGCATTGGCAGAGTTAAGGCGACCCCCTCCCCACGGCTTTCCCAACGGGGGCTTTCCGACGAACAACTCAGCCCGCGAAAGGCACCCTTCCCCGAATGGCACCCCGGGCTCCTCGTCTGCTCCGTCCGGACCGTTTGCTACCTTTGGAAGAAATCGCCTTCGCCGCCAGTGCAGAACAGCCGCCAGGCGCGCCGGGCCAACCTCTCTCCCGGCTGCTGCCACTGACTCAGGGCGGCCCACGTGCCCTCGGACGTCCCGACCCTCCGCGCACGTTCCCCGCAGGAGCCTTCTAGGATCTTTTCCGCTTCCCGCCCCGCCGCCCCGCCCACTTCTCCTGACCTTTCCGAAGAGGAAGTGGCGAGGGCGACCCCGGATGGAAAGCGAGGAACGGCGGCGCCCCCATTTCCTGAGAGCGGGACGCGAACGGCGCCATTTCGGTGAAGGAGGAGGAAGAGGGTGAGCTGCGTTGGGCTGCTGCGCGCGCGGGGGCGCGCGGGGAAGGCGCCGTTGTGGCCTGGGCCCCGATTGTAACATCTTTCCTCCAACCCGCGAGCGGGGCTTGCTTTTCTCTGGAGGTTTTTAAAGTTTCGTGCTAGGGAAAGCGGGGATGGGCTATTTCGTTTTTTTCCCCCCCTGTCGCGTCTCCTGGAGGTCTCGGAGATGGGGCGCCCGCTTCTGGGGTCAATCAAGGAACCGAGGGGCGATAAGAATCGCTGGCAGTGCATCCACTGGACGCCAGGATCTCCCACGGTTGGGGATTATAGGTAGTCCTCGACTTACAACAGTTCGTTTAGTACGGTTCAAAGTTACAATGGCACTGAAAAACGCGACTTATGATCGTTTTTTTCACAGTTACGACCTTTGCAGCATCCCCATGATCATCAGATCAAAATCCAGATGCTTGGCAACTGGTTCATGTTTATGACCGTTGCTCTGTCCCAAGGTCATGTGATCACCTTTTGCAACCTTCTGACAAACAAAGTCTATGGGAGAGCCAGATTCATTTAACAACTGGATTGCTAACTTATCAACTGCAGTGATTCGCTTAACAACTGTGGCAAGAAAGGTCGTAAAATGGGGCAAAACTCAACAAACGTCTCACTTAATTTTGGGCCCAATTGTCGTAAGTCGACGACTACCTGTATTACGTGCTTCTCCCCTTTTTTAATACATAAGGCCACAAAGATATCTAAATACCCCTGCCTCTTATTTTCCTCAAAACAACAACCTGTGAAATTGCCTGGGCTGACAAGAGTTTTTCCAAAATCACCCAGCTGGGTTTCATGCATAAGGGAAGCCAAGGACTCCTAGTCTCCGTACCTTAACCCTCATTAGGATCTTGGCACCTTAACCATTACACCAAACTGGCTCTCAAGATCTCCTTCATAGCCCAAATAGCCAGGGACAATCTCTCAAGATCCTTCTAGTTAAAGTAAGTCATGGGAGTTTTTCCTATGTAGTTTACACTATTTTATTCTGTGTGGCTACTGGAGAGAGCAGTGCCAGTTTGTTGTATATGGTTAAGGCACCAGGCCAGAATGTGGGAAATTGTGAGCTCTACTCCACCTTAAGGGACAAAGCCAGCTGGGTGACCTTAGGCTAGTCCAGTGGTGGCGAACCTATGGCACAGGTGCCAGAGGCGGCACTCAGAGCCCTCTCTGTGGGCACGCATGCTGTCGTCCCAGTCCTAGGCCTTCAGCTGGGTTTTATAAAACCTTTTCGCTTTAGGCCTCCGCTGCCGTGTGCAAGAAAAAAAGAAGGTTCACTCAGTCAATTTCAACTTCTTGTGGGAAAAAAAAAGTTCTTGCAAAGTTGGAATTGATTGATTGAACTTTTTAGTCCCACCCAATCTGCCATTATCACTGCAGCCATGCCCACCCAATTGGCCACACCCAGTCAATGGGCCACACGCACCCGGCACTCGACGATGCATAAGTGGGTTTTGGGTTGCAGTTTGGGCACTCGGTCTCTAAAAGGTTCGCCATCACTGGGCTAGTCACTATCTCAGCCCTAGGAATGAGACAATGGCAAACCAGTTCCAAAACCTTGCCAAGAAAACTGCAGGCACTTAAGCAAGCAGTTTTCAGAAGATAAATCTGATATGAAGGCAATAAAAAAAAACCTGAGATGATTGAGCATGCCCTTGGTGTGATGGCTGAATAAAGCATACATAGAAAATGTCTTCGATGAGTGCAAAACAAGCGGAAGACAAGGCTTTAGACTGAGCTTGCCATTCCAATTATTCAGTCCTCTGATCATATTTAAGATGTACCTCTTTCCTAGTTCTTACTGTATTTGTGAAAACTAGTTCCCCAAAAGTAAAGTAGTTCATTAAAGATTCAATGTAGCTTAAATCCTTTTGATAGAGCAGTCGTGATGAGGCCTCTTACTGGGTTTATTCTTTTCCTGACTTGTGCCATTGCATTATAAGCTTTAACTCTTTTCCACTCTCCAAGAATTAATTACCATGAAGGAAAAGTGGTCAGGCTAAGGCACTTTTTCCCCTTCCATCTGCCTGCCTACTGATATGAAGAAAATGAAATGAAAGACAGCTTAGGATATTAAAAGCTAGTAAAAATAGGCCTAAGAATATAAATCTTGTATCCCAATAATCAAGTGTGGGCTAAGGTGCTTAGAGAGGAGGCATGTGAGAAGAAAAATTGGTTGGAATGAATTGTACTTTAAATAGGATATCATGGAAAAATACAGGAATAATTTAATGTGCATGATTTATTTGACAAAGCAGAGCCTGCCATTGCCTTTACTTCCCAGAATAAGCAAAACTCATTGCAGTAGTAGTTGATTATGGACATAAATGAATTGATGATGCAGCTTTATGATTATATCACTATGTGTTGCTTTAAGTACATTTTAGTATCAATTGTTTTGATTTGTTTATATTTAAAATAGTAAGAGATACAAGGGTGATTATTTGAAAAATATAAATCTGATGACTCAAATCAGTTTGAATATGAATTTGTTTTAAAATTTAATTCAAAATGCAAATTCAAATTTAACATAATTCTTTAACAGCACTATTAATATGTGATCCTAAAGTTAAGTTCAAGATTTGTTATTTTCCAGTTGTTTGGAATTCTCTTATCCCAATAGACATTAGTTTATCAAATGGTTTGTCAACAAAATTTTGTTTAATAATAGAAAATATTATTTTTTGTTTGCAGCTATAACAAATTCTTCAGCTAATATGGCTGAAGTAGAAGAGAGTGGAAAGCAAAAGAGAAAGTTGGTTGAAGAAACTGATAGTAGACGTAAACGTCCACGTAGGGATTCTCTTGTTGAAAAAGATGATAAAACTGCAAATAAGTATGATGAAGGTCAAACAGGAGATGGAAACACTCATCATGAAACAGAATCTGAAGAGGTTCCTAAAAAGAAAACAGTGAGTGTTTCAAATATTAATTTTTAAAGAAATCAAATTCTTCCAGGCACTTTTTCCCCATGTTTGAGATTAATTAAAATGTAAGCTACTATTTGAATAGAACACTAGAAACACATACAACTTTATATTCTAGCTTGTGTTAAACTTTGTTGACCTTTTGGGTATACTTGCATAGGATTCTGCTGTTACGGGTGAAATCAAAACTTAGATATATTCACCCATAGATGAACATTGGGAACTTCATACTATTTGATAGCCGTATCTGGGAAGGTTTTATAAAACAGCACAGAACTGTGTACTAGTAATAATTCCTTGAAATCAGCATGGATTTGACAAGGATAGGTTTGCAAGACTAATATTACCATATTTTTTGTTTATATAAATTTCTTAATAGATTTGGGAATGCAATGGGCATAATATATTTATATTTCAGTAAAACATTTAACAAAGTACTTTATGTTATCTGATGGGTATGTCTGTTTGGTAGATTCATAGCTTAGTTCTCATTGAACTGGAATGGGATATTAAGTGGGAATGGTACAGAATTCCAAATACTCTTCAAAATTTTCATTGATGATTTGGATGAAGAAGTAGTGCTTATCAAACTGACAAAAACTGGGTAAGATAGGAGCAAGAACAAGTTTTAAGTTGAATGGGATTTCCATATTAATGAGTGTATAAAAATGAGCAGACGGTTTGCTTTTAACTAATAATATGATGAACCTTAACATAAATAAAATACCTGGAAGAGAAACCATATGCAAGCAAGTATTTGTGAGGCCACAATTCAAGCAGACAAGCACCTGCCACATAGCATCCCAAACTTAATTATTGTTGATAAGAGAAACAAAAAAGTCTGGATAGGAGACAGGGCAGTAAAGACAGAAGAAAATGAACTGGAGAAAAATCACAAAATACAGACTAAAAGGAAAGCAAAAATTGTACTAATAGTAATAGCCACCTTGGGTCAAATCCCAAAATAACTGGAATACTAGTTGAACACCATTGGCATTAACAAAATCACCATTAGTCAGTTGCAGTAGGCTGTTTTACTTGGAATAGCTTATATCCTGTGTTATACCTTTAGCACTATCAGACAATATCTGCCTATCCCAGGTCCTTGGGAAGAACTCGATAGGTGGATAAAAATGCCAAATCTGGCTCACTGTGCAATCAACCATAATAAAATATTCATTTTGTACGCTGTCTCCTTCTCATTGACTCTGGGCATCTCACAACAATCAAAGAAATGAATCAATAAAAAGGTAAACATAAAAGATGGCAAGTGTAGTGAAGGTTCTCTCTCTCTCTCTGTCACCAAAGGCCTGGGTAAAGACCCAAGTCTTAGCTATTCTAAACAGAGAGTTGCATGTGAAGTAATGAAGCAACATCAGAGTGTTCTTCAAACCGGTATTGCTTCTGGTGATAAAGTAGCACATATATGTAAAGCCTTTGCCATTGTAAAGTATCACCTTCATGTTGTTCTCCTTTTATATGTAATATATCAGGAGGAGAAAGAATAACTTATACATCTTATTTATACGATTGAATTATAATGCATTTTATCAAAAGTAACTTGTGAAGAATATATGGAACTTCACCTCATTCAAAATGCAATAGTAAAAGACATTGAATAGGTTTGCTTAATGTTCATGTTTCAGCATTTAATGTGATTTTTTTCATGTTTCCTCTACTTAACAGATGCTCTCTTTTTTTCTTGTACTCTTATTTGTTTTGTTTCTTTAGTAGGTTGGAAAGAATTTGTCAGGAAATATACACTCCACATGTAAAGATATAATTTTTTGGTATGAACCCTATTGCTATAAAAAAGGAATGCACCAAATAAAGAAAAATATTGGGATTTAGATATCACCTAAATGCATATAAACATTTATATGCTATACTTAATCATTTATTTTATGTAGCATGCAGAAGCTGTAGCAGCACATTATAATAAGCTTGAAGAGGTTGGATTGGAACAACGTAGCAAGAGTCGCATCTTCTATCTCCGAAACTTTAACAATTGGATAAAGAGCGTGCTAATTGGTATGTCTGTGTATTAAAAACACAGTTCAAAATATCTGTAATTCACACATCTACCTTTTGGGAAAAAAGTGCTAGTACAGCTGGCTATGAGAGACAAACAAATATCAAAGTTAATTTCTAAATTCCAAATATTAGATTATATATTGAAAAATTAATATTTTGATTGCACAAAAACAGGACTCTACTCTTCACTGTTGGTCTATAATGGAAGCATTGCACGTATTTGTAACAGCATTTTTCTGTTTATCGTTTTGGTCTAAAAAAAGTGAGATTATAATCATGAATATATTGTGAGATAAAAATGATAAAAATACATCTCAGTCCAGACTAGTCATCCTTGGATATTACTAAAATTAATCAATGAAATTCTGAGAATTCAGTGATGAAATTAACTTTCCTAAAGTTTTTTTAATAATATTTTATTAATTTTCTAATTATACATTTAGGTATTTAAAAAGCAACGTGGTGGCTGGGTTAATCAATAGTTCAATAACATACAAAAATCTTTAGTACAAATCTCAAGTTATAACATCAAATATTTCCTCTTTTTCCTTTAATAACTACTATCGCATATTTAAGCTAATACAGTTCTTATTATATCAACTAAGTAAAAACATCATTATTACATTTATCAATACATTTTTAGCTTATACATATCTTAATTACTTTTATATTCAATCTTTATAGACAATGTCCTGTTATTGGTTTTTCCCAATTTTCAAATTTAACATTTGATATTTATAATTTCCAGGCTTTAGGTAACCAAAGTTTCCCTTATCTCAATTCATAACAGAATCTAATATTCAAAATACACATCTTATCTATTAGAGTATAGTCTTGTTCTATTTTCTAAAAGTTATCTATTTCCCACCATATTAAATCATCTAATTAATAACAGTATCCTCTTTAATAAATCAAAACCATTATATATATTGTCTGGGTTAATCAATAAATCAAACATATATTTTTTTTCTTTTGGGTCTAATTTTTAAATATTAAACAAATAGAATCCTTATTTTCAACTAATTTCCAAATATTTTAAATTTAATGACCAAAATTCCTCTTATCTCAACTTCTCCCTTTAACCCTCTAATTAGTAATATGAAATCCCCTTTAATAAATCAAAACCCCAATTTTCTTCAGCCTTATTCTGGCTTTCTTCCTTTGCCAACTAGCCTTCTATGTCAGTGCTTTTTAAATCATCAAATAGATCTCCCTTTATTATATATATTATTTGAAATAAGAGAGACCATTTAGTTGCCATTTTTTTGGAAGGACTAGCCTGTTTGTATTCATTAGATCGTCTCCCTATTCCAATTCCCCATGATTGTCCTGATATGTTTCTTTTCCATTCAATCTGTTCTTCTTTCTCCTCAAATTTCTTCTGATTTATATAGAAAGTCTTTTCCATTTTCAGTGTTGTCACTCCCTTTTCTGGATTTTCCATTAACTGTATTTGTTGGTCAATTGAGTCCTCTGTCTTTGTATTTGATTGTTCCAGTTCTTCTGTTATCTTCTGCGTTGTTAGTTCTTTGGTTGTAGTCAAAATTTGGGTTTGTATATTTAAGCTGGCATCTTGTTCTTTTATGTTGCATCTTATTTTGTCACAAGCTGAAAGAATGGTTTCATGTATTGCTTTCAACATGGAAAGGATCTTTTCCTGGTCTTCATCCATATTCTCTTAATAGTGTGTTAAGTTGAGGACTTTAAAATCAGACGTTAAAAATAATTTTATAACTAGGTATGGGACCTCTATTTCACGTGTTTATAGGTAGTCTTTATAGTAGAAGTTGTTTGTCAAGTAAGATTTTATAGTCCAAGGTATTTCATCATCTCATATAATAACCAATGTTCCTCAGATAAAGAAATAGGAAAGCAATTTCCCAAATATAGCTCTAAAAGTCAGTAAAGGTTTACATTCATAGTTCAAGCAGGCCAGTTATGCCACCCAGAAGTTCTCTTTACAGCTGTGTTTCTCATAGGTGGTATCTATCAAGGTTGAAAGAGTTTTATCTGAAATCTGGGCTTCAAGCCAAGTCTCTTTTAGGCAATAACAAGTTGTAATACCAAATTTCACCACATGTCACCAATGCCATTTAAAGTTTTTTAAGTCCAAAATTTTTATAATCCTTTTTCCAATTTTATTTCTTTTTTGTAGATAAAAACAAAAGTCTCCAGTAAAAATAAGAAAACTTTTGGTCCCCAAGTTTCAGAAACATATAAATCCAATTAGATTAAAATTGTTCTTTCAGAGCTTTAATTCCTCTAGGTAGTCAGTCGCCGCTATTCTTAGAGGATGGGGTAGAAATTCCCTTCCCTCTCTCCTCACAGGGGGAAAAGATACTTTGGGCAGCTTTTACAGGAAAAGAAAATACTTAGGATCTTAAAGAGAAAATCGGATCTCACCCAGTTTCATCCGCATTGCTTTAGAAGTGCTTGATGGTAAGTTTGACTTTGGCTGTCTGCAGCTTAGTGACGAGCCATATTGCTATGGCTGGTCTTTCCTCCGCTGGTTTGGAGGGCTGCCCTGGATCGAGCGGAAGGGCTGCTGCCCTCCCGCGATCAAATGGGGGTCCCCTCCTTGGTCGTCGCTCCTACAGGGTGACTTTCAACCCTTTCCAGGGTCCCCCAGCAGAACGAAATTGAACGTGGAAGACGGGGCTTGCCTTCCAGTGGCTGCGGCGGCTGCAATGGCAAACCGGAAGTCGTAAATTAAGTTTTCTTGTGAGGCAGTCCTATACACTTAACTACAAATAAATTCCATTGAACACAGTGAAACATCTGAGATGAAAATTCAGGATCATGCAAGTGCATGATGATTTTCTTTTTATCTCACATCTCAAAGATAGGAACAATATGCTGGAGCTCTAAAGCTCTCAAAATAATCAGGAAGCTATGCTCTAATACAGCGAGAACATTTCATTTTCTCACGATTATTATTTTTTTCTCTTAGGTGAATTCCTTGATAAGGTGCGACAAAGAAAACAAAACGTTACAGTGTTAGACTTGGGATGTGGTAAAGGTGGGGACTTGCTGAAATGGAGAAAAGGCCGAATATATAAACTTGTATGTACAGGTAAGATAACAAATTAATTTGATATAGGAATCATGTTAAATTGTAGATAAAATAGAAAAGGAAGTTTCACAATTTTCACAATTCTGTGTAACAATTTTTCTATATACTGTTACATCACAAATCAACATATGGGTTGCCTAAAAAGGAAGCTATGCGTGCAATAAATAATATGATTTGTATTCATGTAAATGTGTTCTGACCAAAATGCTTAAGAATTGTTCTTTAACTGGATCTCTTCGATGCACATTCTCCATTGGCAATTAAAACAGCTAACTGCACTATCCTATACTGTGCTCACTGTAAATAATTGGGCTAAACATTGCCATAAGTGTTATTCTTAGGTTTGCTTTAATATTTGTTCTGAATACACACTACTGAACACTGACACACATTTAATGTACTATAAATAAGAACTATTTAGTTTTAAATAGAACTGTATTTGTTTGAATTAAGCCTCCATTTTTGCTAGATCTCAGCAAATAAGTGATATTCCAGATTTTTATTATGTGTTTTTTTTAAATAGATATTGCTGATATATCTGTACAACAGTGTGAACAGCGTTACCAAGATATGAGAAACCGTGGTCGCCAGAATGATAGATTTTTCAGTGCAGAATTTATAACTGCGGATAGCACCAAGGTATAGTACTTTCATGCTCTTATTTTCTTTGTATTCCTTTGAGATTTATTATTCTTTTGGTAAAATGTGGAAAGTTGTTACATTATGACTGAAGCAAAATTTTTAAAAAATGCTATTTTAATAGAATAGTTGCATATTTTACAGACTGAATAATTAATCTAATCTTATTGGTAGGAACTACAAGGAATTAGTCTTAAATATTCAAGATGTGTGGTACTGTATATCAATGAGACAAGTACACACTTGTAATTTATACCATATGAAATCATATGTTCAGATATTCACAAATTTATGTAACAATTTTTCTATACACTGTTACATCATAAATCAACATACGGGTTGCCTAAAACTGCTCTCTTCATTGTTGTTGTTGTTTTTAACCTGGGGAAAAAAACTCCAAATATTTTTTTTCTTAGAATTCAGTTCATAAAGATATAACAGATATAAATACAGTAGATACAGAAGGTAATTTTAGTTAGGTTTTCAAAAACCTTTGTGTTAGGATGCTGGAATAATATACATGTGTTTTTACTTTCATTTTTGTTTGTTTCAGGAACTTCTGTCTAAAAAGTACAGGGATAGCAATATGTACTTTGACATTTGCAGCTGTCAGTTTGTATATCATTATTCATTTGAGACCTATGAGCAAGCGGATATGATGCTTAAAAATGCTTGTGAGCAACTTTCCCCTGGCGGATACTTCATTGGTACAACTCCAGATAGTTATGAACTTGTGTAAGTTGGTGAGAATGAATTATGTGAGAGCAAACAAAGGAAATACTTTTTAAGTCAGATATTTTCAAATGTCAGTTTTTTGGAATTGATTGGACAAAGTATTACTGCCATAACAATGATGAAAATGTGCAGATGCTCGTATTATTTGCCTTGACTGTTTCATTTGTTTGCCTGCCTGCAGCTTTTCTGTTATACTTTTTACGATGACTATGTATTGCATAAAATTGGAGCAGCAAATTTTCTCTATAACAAAAAAGAACACATGATAATCAACATTAATTTCTGTCAATTATTAAACAAGTACAACAACATATCTCTTCTTCAACCATGCCACATTATAAAGCTTGAATAAAAGAAGCTTGATAGATACTTTTCTATGGAAGGACTGAGTTCCATTCTATTCTGGTGTTACTGAATCACTTGCAGGACTTGGAATTATGCTTCATGAATATTGATCCCATCTAGTTATGAAGTCACTAGTATTCAAAAAAGGACTTGATGGCACATAATCAATTCATCCATCTCTGGTTTGTGGATCTTGGGCTATATAATCTAAAGCACAGGTGTTAAACTTGATCGTGTCATGTGACGTATCATGACGTTTTTTGCCTTGCGAAGCTGGGGTGGCGGGGCCTGCATGTGACGCATTTGGCCTGCAGGCAGCCAGTTTGACACCCCTGATCTAAAGTAAATGCTTTAATGTGAAATATAAATATCATGTAAATGAGAAATATTGTATGTCTGGTTTGATTCTGTATTTTATTAGCCCACAGGAGTCCTAACACTTTGAAATTTTTAGACTTCCTCTTAAAGAAGCAGCTTACCCTCTTATGATATAGAAAAGCATTTTCTGCTCATTAAAACACCCAATTTTCACTGTCCCAAACATTGAATATGAACATGAGATAATGGACAGTTGTAGCCACAGATAGAAAATACAATTAATAAGTAGGGCTGTGTGGAACTTCAGATTTGAAAGCAAGAATATGGCAGCTGATCCTAGGAAGACACAAGTTCTTTGGTTTAAGAAAACGCTATTTTTGCATGTCCCCATGTTCTGAAGCACCATTTGCTTCTCATTTGAAGCCCTCCACAATCATTAGACTTCAATTACTCTCTGTTAATTAACTTACTCAGGATATCCAAAGACATGCAGCCACCACATTTCTGAGTGTGCCTGTTGAAAAGTCACTTCTCTCAGCATATTGGAATAAATCAGATGCTCCTTACTGAAGCGTCAAGTGTTGCATTTTCCACAGCTGCTTCACTGTGCCATCAGTCTTGGCAGGAGTGATTTCCACATGTACAAATGTGCAGATAATCTTCAAAAAGTCCTCTGAGCAGCTGCACTAAGTTTTTTGTAAGGTGTGGGTACCTCACTGCTTTAAAATAGTTTGTTCTGTCCAATAGGATTTTTTTGTCATTATTTTATTTGGCTTTTTAGTGCTCTTTGAATTGGCCATAATTTCTCTTAAGTTTAACCAAATGTAATTATCTTTTTTTTAATGTTCTGCAATAGAAAACGCCTTGAATCTTCAGAAACAAATTCATTTGGGAACGAAATATATAATGTAATGTTTCAGACAAAGGGAGATTATCCTCTGTTTGGTTGCAAATATGACTTTCACTTGGAAGATGTGGTTGATGTTCCAGAGTTCCTGGTTTATTTTCCATTGCTAGTAGAGTAAGTTCTTACCTACTCTTATTTTTTGCATGTTAGTTTAGTTTTATTTCTCTTCAGCCTCTTTGCTTTATATTTTAAATATTGTCAGCTATTTTGAGTAATTTACATAGAAAGATAGGTTATAAAACAATAACAAAAATACTGCATTTTATTTAAATATTTGCCAGAGTTGTCCATAAGTTGGCTTTGGCTATTTTAAGTTTCTCTGTGGAGTAATTTAAGTTTAAGTTTCTTTGAAGAGTAACATAGCCAGTGATAGCTTATGCATTTGAATAAACAGACTTTTTGTTCACTGTTTGGAATTATATAGGTAGTCCTCAGGTTACACCTGTACGTTCAATGACTGTACAAAGATACGATGGTGCTGAAAAATGGGCAAGATTAGGCCGAACGTTCTCCTGCCCGTACTTCGTAGTGCCCATCTGTGGCATTCACCTCCCTGCCACAGTACCCATCCCCCACCTGTAGTTTTCATCTGCAGTTGTTGCCAGGAATTTCTGACTCTTCTCATGCCATAGTCATATGAGGTCTTCACTTAATCCACATCCTTCTGGAGTTATGATGGCAACTGTGATTGCCATTGTTAAGTGATGCAGCCATATGATGTGGCACTTTATAACTACATTGTTTAATGATGGCAATTCCAGATAACCTGACGGGTTTGTAACTTACTTCTTCATTCCTTCCTCTTCTTTACATCTTCTCTCATACGGGCAGAAGTAATACTAATTAAAATGAGTGTACTTGGTCCTATAGTCTTAATATTGCATTCCAACTTACTTTTCCAGTAGAATCAGCAGGATGATGTTTTCTGGAAAAAAAGGCAAATGTAATTTAAGGCTGTTTGAATAAAAGTGCAGTTTCCAAAATCATGGAAAGTAATTGTTCCTCTGCATTAGTTGTACTTCATATCAAGTATTGCCTCCAGCACTGGATGCAGTATTTTAAAAAGATGGAGACAATTTAAAACAAGAGTAAAATGGCAAAGAGGATGAGCAGGGGACTAGCAATTAAGTCTTTCTAGAAACAGGACAAGTGGAAATTTTAATCTTGAGAAAATATGCCTTTTCAAGTACCAGAATAAGTGACACACAAAAGAATGTCACCACATTGTCACAAAGGTGGTTTTTCAAAAGGCAACTGGACTTTTCTTTGTTTTTTTCTTGAAGAAGTTTTGCTTCCACATCCTGATTCATTTGACCCTGAAGACACAGTTAAACCCCAAATGACCTCAGCCACTCTCAGAGAGAGTGCTAATGATCAGTTGACTGCAAGGAATATAAATCTTTCAATTCCTCCCCCCCTCCCACCATTCAGAATTGAGGAAGCTTCTTGGATGAGAAGTAAACATTTTCAAGGAAAAAAACAAGAAAAGTTCAGTTGCCTTTTGAAAAAGCACCTTTGGGGACAGCCGTGACTTGGATGACTGAGAATCTTCATAGACATTGCCATAACACATTCTCTGTTGTCTCAGACTCAGAAAATAGAATAAAGGTATTATATGAAAGTAGATTTTAATTAAATGCTGGATAGGTTTCTTTACAGTTAAATCAGCTTATTTGTGAAACTTATTACTCAAGGAGCTAGTGGGCTGGATGCCTTCAAACAAAATTTTAGACAGACATTTTTAACAGATACTTTCACTTTGATTTCCACATTGAGTACAGCATTGGGCTTGGTGATTTAAATACTTCTTTCTGGTCCTGTAATGCATGTTGCTGCAGTTTTGAAGCAGATCACATGGTAGCTCTGGATACAGAAGTACTGTTTGAAAACTTAATATTTTGAGACTAATTTCATGATACGCTACTCAATTTACTTTGCAGCATGGCAAAGAAGTATAGAATGAAACTAATCTACAAAAAAACATTTTGGGAATTTTATGAAGAAAAAGTGAAGAATGTGGAACATAAAATACTTCTGCAACAAATGATGGCATTGGAGGTAACTGCTTGATATAGATATAAGTATGTATGATCTTAAATTGTTGGACAGGTCTAGTGTTAGGTAATTTTCAAATAATATACTGTCATTAGATTAAAAGGGAATTTTGTAATAGTTTCCATGTTTATTTGCATTTGAATCAAGTGTATGTAAAGTTTTGACTTGTGCTATTGGCTACCTACTTCTGTAATAAACATTAAAATGGGTTATTTAAAATCTAATTGATGGTATATGGATAAACAATAGGACTAACCTACAGTAAGTTGTTTTAAGTTTGTTATTAATAACTATTGACTTTCCCCATTTGGATGTCATCAGCCATGCTCACTGGAAATTACAAGAAATGCAATTCCAATACATTTGGACAGCATTTAATTGCAGAAGGTTATTCCGAGATATGGGCTGTGGACCCAAAGTATAGTATCGTTCCAAAGCTAAATAGGCCTTACTCTGTAAAGAGCTTGAATACAAACCACTTCTACCTCCTTTATTTCTGTAATGGGTGGAAGGAGGTATATAATTATAGGGTGGAAGAGACAGGTGTTGGGTACAGCAAGTACATTTTGTTGTGGAGATTATTACCTGTTCATATAATTTTTAGTTTGCTGTCCAAGGGTTATATTTACATTAATTCTACCTAAGCTATTTTTCAGAAATACCCTGCTGATGAAGGTTCCAGATTGGTCTCACATATAAAAGAGGATTATGAACATGCAGAAATGTCTAAGAAGGATGGAAAAGCAAAACTACCTTTTGTAAGTGTTTACGGAATTCTATGTTGCTGCCTGAAGCGTTAAGTCCAAAGGCACCATAGCCATCTAAGTCAATGTGAACACTGCAATATCTTGTTTTTCAACTAGATCAGTTTGGTTGAAGTCTTGCAATGTAAGATATTTTTCTTCTTCCCTCTGTTGGATAGGCTCAGGTTTCTATATTAGATCCCCTATAACACATATTCTCTTCTCTCCTGATGCCACTGTGAAGGAAGAACATTTTCTCAGATTGCTCACTTGATGTAGATTGTGAAGCCAGTCTCTCTTTTCCCAAATGTCAGGGATATATTTCCCCCCCCTTAATTTCTGTAAAATGATGGACCAATTCATGTTTTATTATTGGTTTCTGTTTGCAGAAAGGGTAAGAAAGTACTGAAACTTTTTTGTGATTTGTTAGGTACACAGTGTTAATGTTAGGTTTGCTTGTGTAGCAAATAGCTTTTTTAAACAATTATTATTTGAAACTTCTGAGCCTTAGAAGGAGATACAGTGTAGGTACAGTGTTTTGTTTTAAGATCTGGCATATAATAACTTACATCAGTCTTGTCGATACATTTATGAAAATTGTTAATTTAATTAACATTACTTGTCTACCTGCTCAGAACATAGTGATTTAAGAGAGTTCAGCTACTGTTTCAAGACAAATGTAGAAATGAATTGACAAAATCCTTTGTATCTTTATTCTTGAAAATGTTTTTTGCTCCAAGTAACAAATAGTTATATTCAAGTAAATTGCTATCTTTGTTTGCCTGAGTATGCTTTATTATGTATGGAAAGTTACAGACAGTATTTTTCTAAGAGAATACAGGTAGTCATTATTTGGTGATTGTTCAAAATTATAGTGAAGATGAAGAAGTAACTTTATATCCAATTATTACATTTATGACCTTCACAAGAATAAAGCAAAGGAAAGCTGAAGTAAGACAATAAATACAGGTGGGGCTTCACTTAGTGACTGCTTCACTAAACAACTGAATTACTGTTCCCAATTGTAGTTGCAATAACAACAACTATGTGTAGTAATATTAAGAAATACACACACACACACACAGAGGTTTATAATTATTTATTTATTAACTGATTTATTGGTGTTTGAAAACCAGAGAGAAAACATAGCATAAGATTAGGGTAAACCTAAAGATACCCTTAAGTCCTTAATTTCTGGTAATTACATTAAATCTTTCATATAGGTTTTTTTGGGGGTGGAACATGGAATGTATGAAAGTGGTTTACCATCAGTGTCTTATAAAATTTTTTTAGCTTTTAAGATTATTTTCCTGTTTTGGGGGATCATGTAAAAAAAATTTTTTTTTTAATTTCAGAGAGATGGAATTTCTTGGATATCTATAATTGGATGTTGTTATTTATTTTCCTCGCATCTTCTTTGTGAGGCTCTTGCCAGGGTGTATCTGTAATAACAAAAGATCTGTAGATCAAATCATTTTGCAAAATGATAAAGGATAATTAAACAAGGCAATTAATAATACATATAAATTGCAAATTCTATCACCAGAGTCCTTAAGAAGGAATTGATAGATGAGTAAAAATGCCAATCTAAACATCTGGCTGATTGTGTGATAAGCCATGATAATGTTATTAAGTAATAGAAAATGAAGAAGCTAAAGTGCTTTGGGACTTTAGATTTCAGATAGACAAGCACCTGCCACATAACAGTTCAGACTTCATGACTGTCTATAGTAAAGGCAAAGTCTGGAAAGTTGACATTGCAGTATCTGGAGATAGAATAGAAAATAAAGAACTTGAGAAAATCACAAAAAACCTCTGACTAGAAATAGAACAACTATAGCAAAAGAAAACAACAATTGCACCAAAATAATAACCATTTTGGAATTCCAAAGCATCTGGAGCACCACTTAAACACCACTGGCATTGACAAAATCACCATCAATCAGTTGTAGAAGGTAGCTTTACTTGGAACAATTTACATCCTGTGACGATACCATAAAACACCATCTGGCTATCCCAGATCCAGAGGAAGACCTTGATAGGTGGACAAAAATGTGAAATCCAGTCTAAACATCTGGCTAACTGAGTGACCAATGCTATTAACAAAATCACTAGTCCATTGCCAAAGGCAGTTTTATTTAGAACAGCTTACATTTGTGTCTATACTTTTAATATTATTAATCAACAACATCTGCTTATTCCAGGCCCTTTGGAAGGAGTTGATAGATGAACATAATTGGCAAATCCTGTCCAAATATCTTGCTGACTGTGGAACTAATCATAGCTGTTTTTATTAATTTCTTGAAGCTTAGGAAAGTAAGATCAAATTTAAAAGAGCAAAGAATTCAATAACTTTGCCCCCACCACAGAAAGCAATATTTGCATCCTTCCATTCCTCTAATTACACAGAAATGGGAGGCTGCCATAGATTCTCCTGGGAGCTTATCTTCAGATGAGTTGAAATTGAAAACTGGCAAGGAAGTTTTTAGATATTTTAAAAGTACGAGATCTTTGTATTAATCCAATGTTCAGCTTATAAATATGCTTAGGTTCAAAGAAAATGCTTAAGTATTATAGTATTATAATACGATAGAACTCGGTTTAGCTTTCTGAAGTACATAAAACGTCCGAAAAAAACAATCTTGTAAATTTCTTTCTCTTTCCTTTTAGGGAACAATGAGTAAATCTGAATGGGAAGCAACAAGTATGTATTGCAAACAAGTGTTTGAAAATTCCTGGAATAGTTATCAAATATCTATCAAATATACATGTGTTTGCTTAGCAGCATTTCGGCATTTGTCATGCTATTGTGCCATTACGATGAATTTCTTGAGTGGAAATATTTCATAAATAAACTACAAAGTGAATTTTTACACAAAAGGACTGGCTATTCATCGTAGTATGTGCAAATTCATCAAAGCCTTTTTTCAGTGTAGGTACTGATATTAAATTCAGTCATTTAACTATGCATAGTTATACTGACTTGGAAGTAAAACTACCCAAGAGCATGGAAACGAAAATCACTTTCGCATTGTCAAGAAAACATTGTGAGTGCATCCATGCAGTCAGTCAGTATTGAATGTTTTGGAAGAAGTCTTTACCTTTCAAATGTATAATCAGTAATTTATATAAATAGGCATAAAAATTTCAGTTCAAGTTATTTACTTACTTACTTATATTCTGCCTTTATGATATTTTAGAAATAACACAAATTAATTTCCCTAATGTTTTGGATGATGTTTATTGAAATGTATTCCTTAATGCCAATTCCACTGTCAAAACATCAGTGGAATTGACGTAAGGAATAAATGTCAATAAAGAAATATCCTTTATGTTTTCTAAAAAAGTGAAATGACTAAAACTCAATTATTATGCAATTATTAGTTTTAAAATGTTTGAAAATTATGAGACATGCTTGATTATGCTTTCCTCTTAAAGTAATACAGGAACTATGAGCCAAAAATTATGAGACATGCTTGATTATGCTTTCCTCTTAAAGTAGTACAGGAACTATGAGCCAGTAAGATAGCCAATATAGTTGTTGAGGGTGATCAACTTAGCATCTGTGCATTTTGTTATATATTATCTTAGCCTTCATGACATGAACCATGTATTTTAAGTGCAACCATATACATTATTGTTTGTACCATTAATCGATTTATAGAAAAGATCACCATCAGTGTAGATATTGTAGTTATAGCAAAAGAAAAAAAATGTAGAGTTGAGACAAACTGATTTTGATTTTATTTAATTTTTTAAAAAAATCAACGCAATTACTCACTTTCTAGGTATGTAATATCTTTTTGTAATCTGTATCATTATAAATTAAAATTCATTAGCAATTCTTAGAGAAATCCTAGGGATGTAACCAAGACTTGGGTGAAGGGTGCTGCAGGTGCGTGCTTCTATATTAAGTGAGTACATGGATTTAGAATAGTTTAATAATAATAATAATAATAATAATAATAATAATAATAATAATAATAATAATAATAATAATAATAAAGTTGGAAGGGACCTTGGAGGTACTCTAGTCCAACCCCCTGCTCAGGCAGCAAACCCTATACCATTTCGGACAAATGGCTGTCCAGTCTCTTCTGTGGTCGTATATATAAGCTAATTATCTTTCAAATACTAATATGTGGTACAGGTAGCCCTTGACTGACAACAATTTGTTTAGTGACCGTTCAAAGTTACAATGGCACTGAAAAAAGTGACATGACAATTTTTCACACTTATGACCGTTGCAGCATCCCCATGGTCAGGTGATCAAAATTTGGATGCTTGGCAACTGGTTCATATTTAGGATGGTTGCAGTGTCCTGGGGTCATGCGAGAAGGGGTAAGCCAGTTTCACTTAACAGCTGTTATTAACAACTGCAATGATTCCCTTAAACAACTGTGGCCAGAAAGGATATAAAATGCGGCAAAACTCACTTAACAAATGTATAAACAACGTAAATTTTGGGCTTGTTTGTGGTCGTAAGCCGAGGACTACCTGTATTTCAAAAAATAATGATCTTTTCTTAAAATATATCACCAAGTACACATGCTTCCCATATACACACATTACTGTAAGTAATTCTGCCTGGGTATATTATGAATGATAATAATAATTTAGTAAATATGAATAGGGCTTGCATAATTTCAGATTTGTATATGTACAAAAAGAAATGAGTATTAGGAAAATCTTAATTGTGAAATTTTTTTTGAAATGAGATCAGGCTATTAATATTTTCCCTTTTTCCCTTTCAGGTCTGTACTTGATTTTTGTATTTGAAAAACTTTAAAAGGAAAAAGAAAACAATGAAATACAGATGATGTGATCAAGCATCCAAACTGACAGCTATTTTATATTTTTATGTTTAAGCGTGTGCAGGAAACGACCAAGATCGGGCATGCTTATGTTTGAGTCATGGCTGCCTGTCTGTGACAGATGGATTTTTTTGTTGTTGTTTGTATGTGGTATATATACAGTGTATGTGTTATACATTTTACTTTTTGTGTGGTATGGCTGGCTTCCTACTTTTAACGAAAGACGAGTTTTCTGGAATACTCAGGGTGTTTTCAGGTACAGAGTTGCCACATTGACTCTTTGAAGCTGTATCGTGACAGTTGTCACAGTACTGTATGAAGATCTGATCATAACGTAGTAATATGATAATGTAACTGCTGCCAACTAAAACACTTAAGGAATAAAGGATTTGGTAATTATATTGCCAAGGACTACAAATTACATTGCCTAGGAGTACAACTCTACTTACTGTTACACTTGTTGCAAAATAAATTTCCAAGTGATTTTCACTTGAGATCTTCTGCTGCAAGATGCTGTTGTATAAAGATGGGTTGTATAAAGTTGTAGGCTAGTAAACTTGTAAGCACTGAAATGTGAGTCTGGATCCAGTATTCGCTGCAATCAGTAAAAATGTTACCCTGTTTTGAAACCTGTACTAGTGGGCATTTTCTTTAGACCTTGTAAAGAGCTTACATGCTTCAACAGCTCGTTCATGTGTACGAGTTCTATGTGTGTTGGGATACCAGAACTTCATTATTATTGGATTTTCTATTTCATAGTGGAGTATTTTCACTGCTAAATTAATTGTGATTGGTATGTAGGGTGGGTAATATTTGCAGAAATACTACTGTGCTGTTTGTATTCCTTAGACTGTAATTTCTTTTCAAACTGGTAATGAAAATTAAAAATATTTCTCTTCTTATCATTTATGTATATCTGAGAAGTCAGAATTCCTAACTGTATGGTTGTTCATATATATTCTTTGAAAAATTGTGATACATAAGTAGCAAAAGTCATTGCCAGAAGACTTTTTTTTAGCAATACTATGTTTACCAGCTAGAATTATCCTACAAATCATGATTTTTCTGAGCTGGATTTAATTAGATACGCACTTTTAAATGAGAAATGTATGGGTCAACGCTATAGTGAATGTACACACTAAATGATGGTCGGTGCTTGCAGGAATATGGATTGTCTAGCCATGGTGTTCTGGATGAAACAGGCCAATTTTATACCATGAAAAACACTACATTTTGTTTTTGATTTGAAGGTTTAACTTCTGGAAAACTCTGGGACAATGGCTTAGATAAGCATGGTCTGGAGAATTGGAATATTGTGAAGCTCATGGAATCATAGGTTTTCCACTTATCTGCATGATTGCAGATATAAAAAGTGTGTGGTTTGTGGCATACTTTTCCAATATGTGAGGGATATACTATATATGAAGAGATGAGACTTATTTTTTTGAAATTAAAATATTTTTGCCTAGAATTTCCCACTAAATTCTTCATACATAGATTTTTATTGTAACCGTAGCTTTAAATTGTAGTCTTAAAAATGAGTTCACCACTCAGCTGCTACACGATACATTGATATGAGACAACATTATGTGGCTTAAACTGTATAACCTTAAATGAACAACTTCTCATCTTAAATGAACAACTGCTCAATCACACTTTGCATATTTGTTCTTGGTCCCTTTTTCATTCTCCATATTTTGCCAACTGGTCAGTTCTCATAATAAAGCTATTTACAGCTGGTGGAAAGGTGGATTATGTTATGTGAGTGAATGAAAATTGTGTAGAGATGTTTTGGAACAAGAAGGAACCTATACAAAACTCTTATTTGGGGCACTTCCTGGCTCTTTCCACATGCATGTTTAGCTAGTTTTCTTCCCTGACAAATATTTTGTGTATTATTGCCTAATTTCTTAAGCACCCGGTAATTTTTTTCTTGATAAGATCTGTTCTAAATTTGCGTATTCAAGATAAAAACCACTTCCTTGTCTTTAATTAAAAGAAAGCTAAGCAATAATAATTAAAGATCAGTCACATTTTGTCCCCTTTCCTATTCATTTTATACATTTGTCCAGATTTCATTGTATCTGTCTCCCAGACAAAGTTTAATATTAGTTGCCAGGATGTAATATTAGTGATGACCCCTGTTTTGGACCCTAATATTAATTGGTGTAGCTAGGGAAAAAATCCTGCTTTTTTTTTTTTTTTTTGCTCTAAGGAGAGGAATGAGGCATATTTCAAAATTGTACAATAATGAAAGCCTTGAAGGTATCTGATATTTGCATGGGTTAATATCTTCTACCATTCCTGTTATTATTTTATCTTTCTACCAAAAAATGAATTAGCATCTCCTACAGTTTGCAAATCTTTTTTTTCCCATTTAAAACATATGTCTCAGATCATATGTTCAAATGATATAATCTTGAATCTTTTCAGATCTTGAATTGAATTCGAATCAGAGCTGTACCTAAAAATGAGGTAGTTGTAAATGTTTATTTCACAATAAAAGTGAAATTTAGTGTATGTATGTAGCCCTTAGTTCTTGGGCCTGATGGATACTGATAGGATTTTTCCCACCTTTCCTAAGAAGGGGAGGTGGAAGATTGAATGAAAATTGTCCAGACAGGTTGGATCCAACGAAAGTTTCTTGAAGAGAGGGCAGACCAATCCTTGAATGGGGCTGGGAACATCCCCTCCTACAGCAATGCATTAATCACTGCCTGGATCCACCGGCAGGTCACCATCCTAGAGGTTTTTGCCAACCACAGGGACAAGAATCTAATAAGCAAGTCCACTTCCTCATGTCCAACAGGCTCAAACTTCCCAGATAATTGGGTAAGTTTATTCCGTGGGCATCTCTTAATGGTCTTGCCTCATGCTTGGTCTCCTACTGAGAACAGATCTGAGTGATTTTATCCAGCAGATGTTTGACAAATTCTTCTGCATGGTCTTATAAATGATCATCTGAGCCCCCCTTCTCGAGGAAGAACCAGGTGACCTTGAACAGGGTTGTTGGCTGACACTGCAGATGAAATAAGACCAGAGAAATAGTGATGTTTTGGCGCTCTTTCTGCCATTAGGTAGGCCTCAATAGCAACTCTAACCTGTGTCCAGTTGGATTTGTTCTTGGTTTTCCTCCAGCAGCTCTAGCTGTTTTTTGGCCCTTTTCATTGCTCTCATCTTAATTCATGGGATTTCAGGAGCAATGGGCCAGGAGATACCAAGTGCCAGGGAAATCAGGAGATTCAGGCAGTTCAAATGAGTATAAAAATGTATTGCAAGCTTAAGCCTTCTATAAGAATCTGAGTTACTAACAGTCAAGGGAAATGAGTGGGAATTAAGGCATTCAAAGTGGGCTGGACTTAAATCTCTTGTGGGCGTGCATGGACTCGTGAGGCATTTGCCCCTCCGTCGCCTCGGCCTCAGCCTAGTCATGTCCTACAGGAGATGGTGCATAGATGTGATCTGCCCAAGGCCTCTGCTGCTTTCAGATTTAGGGTTTCATTTTCATTTTCATTTTATTAAATTTATACCCCGCCCTTCTCCCGTAGGACTCAGGGCGGCTTACAGCCAGTTAAAAACAATTTAATACAATACAATAGAAGTTTTAAAAATCATTAAAAATAAATATATAATCGGCCGCTACTACTAAAATTTGGCTAAAACCAATTTAAAATACCCCTAGGCCAGTCCTGCCC